GGGGGGGGGGGGGGGGGGGGGGGGGGCGGAAATGCTCCTAAAGGCTCCCCGACGGGCAGCAGAGGAACCGGCCGAGGACCTAAAACAGAAAGGAGCTGAGATTCTGAGCTTGGCTACCAAGGCTAAAAGCTCGGCGTTGCCATTTCCCCCCTCAGAGAGCAGGCAAATTGAGGGAGAAGTAGCCCTTGACTTATGGCTGAAATGGTTGATTATATTCTAATCAACATTGTGTACGATATTTTATCATGATTACAGTACCTTTAAGTTTTCTATTCCATCCATCCATCTTTGATATCAAATCTCATCTCTGACTAAATTATATCCATCTCTTGACTTATTCAAAATACTCTGTTTACTATATATCGTTATTGCTATATCCTTTAATTTCTTGCTCTGCTTTCTAACCAGCCCTAGAACGCAGATGTCATTCCTGTGGGAGAACGGCAGGGAAGAAATGCAATTCAGGACATAATGAAACGCACGTAATTGCAACTAAAAGAGGCGTCTTACTCGTAAATGGTGAGATGCGGGGACAACGGCCGTTTAGATTGGGTGTTCTTCTCCCAAAACTTGGTCATTTCTTCCTTCGCTGACGTCGTCATGGGGACCACGCTGGAACAGAACCATTGGGAACTTGTTAGGAGGTAGGCCCAGGGGTGGGATTCTACCGGTTCGCACCTATTCGCTAGAACCGGTTGTTAACCTTCTAAAAAGTTCGGAGAACCGGTTGTTAGAAGAAATTACTGGGCTAATCCTGTAAGGAAGGCAGGAAGGAAACATTCTGGTGTTGCTTACAGAAACCGCCTCTCCGTTAACCCTTATTACATTCTTGGGAGGACTAGACTTCCTGTCTCTGGAACTTCTCTGGAGTTTTCTTTTCCCTCCTTTGCTGGTACTTTGCTTGTGTGGAGGGACCATTCAAAGTTACAATGGCCCTGAAAAAAGTGACTTATGACCATTTTTCACACTTATGACTGTTGCAGCATCCCCACGGTCACGAGAGGCCAGGCGAGGAGATGCGTGCCTCGATGTGAGTGATATTGAGTTGGCCACACCCAGCCAGTAACATGACCAAGCCATGTCCACCCAGTCACATGACCACCTAAGCCACGCCCACCACCTAAGCCACGCCCACAGAACCAGTTGTTAAAAATTTGAATCCCACTCCTGGGTAGGCCCCAAACCACCCAGTAATGCGTTCAGGCAGTGCTCGACTTATGACCATGAGTTTAGCAAGCGTTCCAAATTACAGATTTAAGGAAGCGGTTCTTTTTCTTCTTCTTCTTCTTGTGCCATATCCGTCATCGGATGTTGGCGATCCTATTTTTATCAACAAAAAACTTTGGCAAGTGTGAGAAACTTACTGTCTCACAGAGAATCCTGCGTTGAGGCGGAAAAAGAGGGCATGCCGGCTCGCTAACCTGAAATGAGAAATATATATATATATATATATAGGATGCGTTGAATGGATAGCCTGGAGTTTATCCTTTATGGGTTATCAGCCTTCCCTGCAGAGTTAGGATAAGGATTTTCTGAATCGTGGCACAGAAGATAGCTGGAGAACAAGGTGGTCCAATTGCTGGCCCAGTCAAAACGTGTGTCTGTGTGTGTGTGTCTGTGTGTGTGTGTCTGTCTATCTGTTTATCTATCATCTGTTTGTCTATGTATCTTTCTATGTATCTATCATCTATCTTCTCTATCCTTATTTACCTATCATTTATCATTCTCATCTATTTAATCTATTTTATATATCTATCTAAATGTTTATCTATCTATTATCTGTTTGTCTATGTATCTTTCTATGTATCTATCTATCATCTATCTTCTCTATCATCCTTATTTACCTATCATTTATCATTCTCATCTAGTTAATCTATCTATCTATCTATCTATCTATCTATCTATCTATCTGTTTATCTATCATCTATCTATGTATCTATCTATCTATCTATCTATCTATCTATCTATCTATCTATCATCTATCTTCTCTATCATCCTTATTTATCTATCATTTATCATTCTCATCTATTTTATCTATTTTATCTATCTGTTTATCTATCTATCATCCGTTTGTCTATGCATCCATGTATGTATGTATGTATGTATGTATGTATGTATGTATGTATGTATCTATCTATCTATCTATCTATCTATCTATCATCCTTATTTATTTATCATCATTCTCATCTATTTTATCTATTTTATCTATCTATCTGTTTAACTATCTATCATCTCTTTGTCTATGTATCCATCTATGTATCTATCTATCTATCATTCATAAACATTTTGAACACAGTGTATTGTCAGGGCATATCATTTACAGAAAAGCAAAGAAAGAACAAAAAGGAATATTAACATATTTACCAATAATAATAACTATTTAACAGTAATAATAGCATAACATAATAGTTTTGACTAAATTTCTCTTTATATTAGCTTATTTGTAATTGTGTTAATTATATTGGCATGTTTATACGTATAAACCCCCTTTATATTTAATTCATACACAGCAATAATCTTTCATTCATCTAAGTTCTACCTCTTATCTCTAACCACTCATAGAATGTATTCCATGTTAAGGAATATTCTGTGTCCTTTATTTTTAATGTCAATCTGTCCATCTCTGCACAGTCCAGTATTTTCTGAATTACGTCCTTATCTGACGGGGCGTTCTCATTTTTCCAGTCTTGTGCAAATACAATCCCTGCTGCTGTCAATACACACAAAATTAAGATATATGGTCCCTTTATCATAGCCCTGAGGCATTTATACCCAACAAAATTAGTTCTGGTTTCAGAGCCCTATGTCCCTTGAGCATCTTTTCCAACCATGTGATGTATTTTTGACCCATAATTTCTTGCTTTCGTACAACGGTTAAAGCGCCAAGCTTTCCCCCCCCCCCCCAAAATTGTCCCCAGGATCCCCAGTTGGGGAGCCCCTGACCTTCAGCATGCTTTCCACACACCCACCCAACAACAACCCTGCAAGGTAGGCTGAGACAAGGGAGAGCAAGGGAGCTTTTGGGGCAGAGGGAGGACTCGAACCCAGGCCTTCCCCCCATCCCACCCCTACGACACTTTCCAGATGCTGGTTTGGATCCCCTGGTTTAAACCCAGACACTGGAAGTGGGGACGGGGACGACCCTGGCTCAGCTATGTTAATACTTGGCACCCCCATTAGGGGTCGCCATGCCTGCAGGGGTGGGCATTCAGACGTATACCTAAGACACGTGTACTACGCCCCTCGGTTTGCAGGCCAGAGCTCTGAAATAATTTCTCTTCTGCAAGGCAACGAATGGGGTGTGTTTGTGTGAGGGGTCAAACTAACAACGCCCATCATCCCCGGCTTGCACGGGAGGTGTAGCTTGGTGTCCCTCTGCAGGCTGGGGAGGATGGGTTGTGCAGTCCGAGGCCTCTCACGTCGGAGGGGGAAAGGGGGGAAAGGGCGGATGGAATTACACGAGCAGGAGAGGGATGAGGGGGCAAACACGTGTCTTTGCGCTCGTGTGAACCCGCATCTCCCCCCCCCCGCGGCAGACGGAACGCCCCCCCCGTCACCCCACAGCCTCCGGGCGCGTAATCACCCCCCCCCCTTTCCGTCCTCGAACACGCGTGTTTCTCCAACCCGGACCCTTCCAGACGAGACGAGGCCACCGCGGGGCTCCCCCAGCCCTCCCCGCCTTTTCTCCTCCCGTCTCCGGTCACCTCAAGACGGACGATGCCATCTTGGCCAGCAGGCGCTCCGAATGTCCGGTGACGTCACCGCCCAACTTCCGTCGCCGGAGCCAAAGAAGGGCGGAAGTGAGGAGCAGCTGAGCTTCAACACGCATGCGCTTGAATCCCTGGAGGAGAAAATATATAAAATATATATATATTCTTTTTTATATATATATAAAAGAAATGGGGGTTGCCCTTCCAGAGGCCGGGGGACTACAGTACCCATAATATCCTACCCGGAGATGGAGGGTGTAGTCCCTTTCCTCCTCTTCTTCACAATCCCCACTCCCTTCTAGCACTGATTGTGTTACCTAGTTGGGTCATGGAACGTCTGCAAGAAAGCAACCAAGCTCAGAGAGCACCCAGGACATCCCGATCTTCCTCCTCCACTCCCTACTAGCACTGATGATGGTCATGAAACGTCTGCAAGAAAACCATCAAGCTCAGAAAGCACCAAGGACTTCACAGCTGGGTGTGAGGGGGTGGACTAGATGACCTACAAGTTCCCTTCCAACTCTGATTATCTGTATCTGTATCAGTTCTCCCCTTTGCAAAACCTACTTCCTTATAGCACTGATGATATTCCCTAGTCATGAAACATCTGCAAAGAAACAATCAAGCTGAGAGTACTAAGGACCTCACAGTCTTCTTCTTCTTCTTCTTCTTCTTCTTCTTCTTCTTCTTCTTCTTCTCCTTCTTCCTTCTCCTCTTCCTCCTTCTTTTTCCTGCTCCTCTTTTTCCACCTCCTCCTCCTCCTTCCTTCTTCCTTTCTCTTCCTCCTCTCCACTATCCCCACTCCCTAGCACTGATGATGTTCCCTAGTAGGGTCATGAAACATCTGCAACAATACCACCAAGCTCAGAGAGCACCAAGGAGCCCACAGTTCAACTCTGAGCTACAAATATTCTCGAAATAAAAGGCAGTTTGCAAACCCAACATCTTCCATCTGCCCACTTTGGAATTGGCTAAGACAAAAGAGAACACAACACAAGCCTTTGTGTTTTCTGGAATGTGTAGCGCCTACTAAAAACTGTGATTGTACTGAAATAATAGTGGCCTGAGAGGAAGATTTTAAAAAATTGGCAGGAATGGGCAGAAGTGTGTGTGGGGGACATCTGATTTTTTCCCCCTCTGCCTTACTGTATTATCTTACTTTTGGGACAAGTGCCTGATTTTCAGCACACAATGAACAAAATCTGATTATTTTTTTTGTCTAGCATTCATTTTTTAAAACACGGGTCAAATCGTGGTTTCCCCAGGATGCCAACTGCAATGTGTTTCAAAAACATGGGACTTTTTTTTAATTCTGCAAAAGAAGTTCCGCTATTTTGTTAACAGAGAAAATCCAGCTGACTTTGAACATTGTGGGCAAGGAAAGTTGTAATTGATTAAGCTGATTTTCCCCTCTTACTGGCTCAGGAAAGAATCTCTTTTCAATGGCCAGTCCAGGTTAAATGTGCAAAAACACTTAACATGGGTGCCAGTGCCTACCAAGCTAGGTGGTTTTCTCGCAGGCGTTTCATAACCCAAGTAGGTAGCATCATCAGTGCTAGAAGGGAAGCGGGGTTCTGGAGTGGAGAAAAAGGAAGAGGAGGAGAAGGAAGGGAGGAAGAGGACTGTGGGGTCCTTGGTGGTCTCCGAGCTTGGTGGTTTTCTTGCAGACGTTTCATGACCCAGCTAGGTAACATCATCAATGCTAGGAGGGATGGGAGTTTGCGAGGAGGAGGAGGAGGAGGAGGAGGAGGAAGGAAGGAAGGAAGGAAGGAAGGAAGGAAGGAAGGAAGGAAGGAAGGAAGGAAGGAAGGAAGGAAGGAAGGAAGAGGGGGAGGAGGACTGTGGGGTCCTTGCTGCTCTTTGAACTTAGAGATTTCCTTGCAGACATTTCACGACCCAACTAGGTAACACCATCAGTGCTTCAACCCTAAGCTGCAAATATTCTCCCCTATTGGGATTTGCCCTGCCAGCCATTGATTCCACATCAATAAAACTCCTGAAAAAGACTCCAACTCCAACCGACAGACCTCCCCCCCCCCCTCCTCTCCTGGCCCCGGCCGAAGGCTCTGCATGTCGGGAGGCAAGAAAAATGGCATTTTTCACAGAGTCTTCGCCCTCACCCACAGCCTGCCAAGAATGCAGCCTCTCTGCCCAGCTATGCTGGCAGCAGCCCCCATCAATGCGAGCTTTTATGTTTTGTTCTCTTTGGGGACGTTGTGGAGGAACCCGTTGGTCTTCTCTCTTCCCCCACCTCCCTATTTTTTTCCTTCTTCTCCCCATCTTCTCATTGGTTCCAGATTTCTGCAGAGATTGCATCCTGGGGGGGGGAGGAGGCCAGGCGGGTTTTTTTTAAAGACAAGGGTGCCCCCCTCGCCAGCATTCAAACGGGAAGGCGCTCTGTGGCTGTGCGACCAGCTCTTCCCCTCCATGTGGCTGGGAACTGGACTGTAACCCAAAATAATGGGGTTCCCAGCTGAAGCCGGAAAGGGCCAGGCCTTCCTTTGGTCACTCCTGTTGTCCACTGTGGGTAAGTTCCACTCTCCAGGGAAAAGTTTCCAAAGTTTTGCAAAAGAAAATTAAAAATATAAAAATCTCAGAGGGGGCCCAAAAAAACCTTAAGTATCTAAAAGCAGAAAGACAGAGTCAGAAGGGACCTCAGAGGTCTTCTAGTCCAACCCTTAGAATATAGAATAACAGGGTTGGAAGGGACCTTAGAGGTTGTCTAGTCCAACCCCTTGTTGGGGACCCTAGACCGTTTCAGATAAATGGTTGTCCAATCTCTTCTTGGACAAACCCCTCCCCCCCGCCCAGTAATGGAGAAGGAAGGAAGGAAGGAAGGAAGGAAGGAAGGAGGAAGAATAACAGAATAAAAGCATTGAAAGGGACCTTGGAGGTCATCTATCCAACCCCCAGCTCAAGCAAGAGACCCTTATCCCACTTCAGACAAATGCTTGTCTTCAAAAGTAGGATGAGATACTCAGCTTCCCCTTCTGGTTAGGGATAAACCCTGTTTGGTTTTATTTTTTTCAAGCATCCCTGACCATGGGGGTCTGTTTTGGGGGTAGACTGCCCCTAAAGCTGGAGGCTCTTCCCCTGGCTTGTTGAGAAGCAGCCCCGAGCATCCCCTCTTGAGATGTCCTGCTTTCCTACCACGGTTTCCCCAGCATGGTCGCTTGGGGATCTGAGCTTTGTTTGTTTGTTTTTCTCTCTCCGGTGCTGCAGCATGGGATATGTAGTTCTTCCTGCCTCTGCCAGTATGGTTTTTGTCATACTTAAGAGGACTGAAGCAGAGGCCATTGCTAGGTGGCTGCAAATTTCAGATTTCTTGGCTTGGCTTGGTTAATGATGGTTTGGATCATGGTTTAATTCAAGGGCTGGCTAATTCGAAAGCAATGAATTCTAGGAAAAGATCCCAGGGAGAAATTCTTTTATGTTAGGTTGTTGATGAGCTTCAAACTTCTCCATTAAACGGTGCATGTGAATAAACGCTTCAATAAAATCTAGGCTGAATTTTCCTTCCCGAGGTTTTTCTGTTGGGGTTTTGGGAAAATCAAGGAGAAGGACCAATTTGGTGAGATTTGTTGGGGAAAATTTCCATGTTATTTTACACATGTTGTGCCTTGACAATAAAGGTTTGATTGGTTTGAAAAAAAAAGACACAATGAACTTCTAAGTGACAGGACTATTAAGGAGAGCCCTGTAGCCAAAAAAACCCCAGAAGTTGAAAAAGTTAGAAGTTCCAATTAAAAAGTAGCGTTTAATATTGCGAGCTATGCCTTTTAATAATAGGCACAAATCAAAAAAATTTTAAGCAAGGAAAAACAGTGACAGTATCTTGGTTAATTGAATAATTAATAATCATGATATCGGTTGTCATTCTGAGAAGCAACTGACTGTTGTCACACCTTAAATCCTGAGAAATAGGTTTCACACAACACAGTGACTTTGCTGAATTATAGCTTGTTGAGAAAAACCTGTTTGGGTTGGGTTCCCCTCTTGGGGTCACCACCAAACTGGACAAACCATGGTTTGTAAGATGAATGGACCTGTAGAACTATCACCTGCCTTGAAATTTCACGGATGGCTTTAATGTATAAAATAATCGATTTATTAAACTGGGGATGTTTTCTGTCTTAGAGTCTGGAAAACCACAACCCTGTTTTCTGTTGTTTGGGCTTTGGTCAAGACCTTTCTTTTTGCGGGATCATTTTTATAGCATTTCTCTTTCCATTCAGAAGTGGGGGGAAATGTAACTCATTACGGTGCCAGACAGATTAAATTGCTTCCCAGCCGAGAAGCACATTAGCAGAACAAAACAATATATTTTATAGTGCTCTGAAATCTCTTCCTATTATTTTTGGAGGAGTTAACATGGGAAACCAAAGTAAGAATTGTGTCTGATTAGACACAGGTTTGACCTGACAAATTAAATTTATCTCTGATGATAACTGTCCCAGCATCCTCATGGCTAATCCTGCCGGATCATGTCTGTTTTTAGCTTTCACAATAATTAATTTCTGGGTAATTTCTGCTTTACAAAGCAAAAATGGCAGGTTTTCAGAGCATCCATCCTCAGAAATAGATGCTGTTTTTTCAATTCGGAAGTCCCAGAAATATTTCTTGCTCCATAAAGCGACAATAATCATAAGATTATGACCTTCCCATTGAAAAGAAAGGATAGGAAGGAATTGAGAAGGGAAGGGACGATTCAAAGAATAAGGAGAGCAGATGAGAAAATGTTTGTTCGGTTCCGATTGATCCTTCCAAATCTGGGTTGACAGATTGCACTAAGCCACAATGTAGCCCAGAACCATGATTCTTGGCGTAATGCAATATGTGTGAATTTAGAAGATTAGAAGATGTATTTGTTTGGTTCAGAACTGATTGTTCTAAATCTGAGTTGATAGATTGCATTAAGCCTCCATGTAGCTATGATTCTTGGCTTAGTGCAATGCGTGTGAACCCATATAGGACTGAAAGCCTGCAGTGTTTTTTTTTTAGGGAAATGTAATTTTTCCTTGCTTTTCCTAATATGATGGAACTAGATTTCAA